ACCTCTTGTAGCTTCAGATCTATTCTGTACTCTGACTCTAGAAGAGTCTGGCTAAAATACTATAGTAACTATGTCTTGCCTGTTTAACATTCTTTAATAGCTATCTCGCCAAGTTAAATCCAAGTTACTTAATAGGCACTTAAGACCCTTTCTGGATTAATTTATTATTATTTTCATTTGCACTTCCAATTTTTCCCAACTGGACAATTTCCCACCCTGTCAGCAACAATAGATGTTATTAAAAACAAATAGCCTGGACATTGGAGCTTTGCTGGGAAAACTGTCAGTTGATGTGTTTCTACACTAGACCTTAACCAAAAGGCCGCGAAACAATAGTTGATATCTCTAAAATCATGCTCTCTAAATTTAGCAAGTGTTTCATTGTTGGTTTACAGAATTTTTGAGTCATTGTTTTATTTCCTTTTCCTCCCTCTTTTAAGAAGTAATCTACAGATTTTTTCTTTTTTGCTAAGGTTAAAATCATCACATTTCTATTCTTTTTGCTTTACAATACCTTCATCTGTACCCTACTTCTTCTTTCTCCTTTATACATCTTAGAAGTTGTTTTTATTGGTCCATTTAATTGTTTGCTTAATATTCCCTTTATTTTAATATCCATCCCTCTCTACTGACATTTTAGTTTTCTTTGTTTAAAAGACTATAATCCTACTGTTTGGCATGTTTTTGCCTTTAGTAACTTCCAGAGCTGGAATTAGGCTTGTGGAAATAGTTTAAATTCTGCTCAACTTCTTAGTCTTTTTAAAAATGAACAGTTTGTACTACTTTTTAATTCATTCTTCTACATTCATTTTAAACACAAATATAGTTATGAAAATGATTTCCAACAAATTTTCCTTCTGCAATCCTTTCAATTAATTTACTTACATTTGTATTCTTTCTTTAAACTCTCCATAAATATGCATAAATGAACAGTCACAAATAATGATGAGGTAGGAGTTCTGATTGAAATTCTTTCAGTAGTTTTTGGGGGGGGCAAGGATGAGGGTAGGGGGAGCAAACTATTTTATAGTTCATGGAAGAGGATAGTAAGGAGAATTTTACTCAAAAGGGCAATCCAAACATTTTCTCCTGTAATTTGGTAGAGAAAAAGTAAGGTTAATTTAGAAAATGTGTATTTCAGGGGGAGAATATGCATTGTCTTTTGTTTTTATTGCCTATCTAAATAGAATAAAATTACAAAATAGAACTTAATTAGTAAGATTACCAAATATTAAACTCAAAAAGAATGTAGTGGTGAAAAGTCACTGTAGACTGACTTTACATCACAGCTTACCACGGTTTCTTCCATTAGTTACGTTTAGTCAAAAATTCTGGATTTTTTTTGTTTATATACATGAAATACCTTCTGTGGTAGAATGTAAAGCAAACTCTTTAATCAGATTCATAAGAACAAACTGAATTATATCAGTATTTTGGAACCTTATGAGATGCCGTGATTTTACTTTTATCATGTAGTCTACCTATGTTAGAATAAATAGTTTTACTTTTGTATTGAACATAGGTCAGAACTGAATACTGTCATCCCTCAGTATCCAGAGGGGATTAGTTCCTGGAAACCTCATGAGTGCTCAAATCTCTTATATGAAATGACGTGTCTACATGGGACCTACACACAGTTACCTGTATACTTTAAATCTTACCTAGGTTACTTTTTATTTCTAATACAATGTAAATGTTGTATAAGTAGATAGTTATACTGTATTATTTAGGGAATAATTAAGAAAAAGTCTGTATAATGTTCAGTACAGGTACAATTTTTTCCCCAGGTACCTTCTATCCATGGTTGGTAGAATAGGAACTGTGGATACTGAGGGTTGATTGTATTGCTTTAATTTTTGAAAGATAAGCAAAGAAGTGAATAAATTGACTAAATCTGTAGAATTTGGTGAACTTGAGTTGAATGAATACTTTCAAGCCATTTTTTTGGTTCAACATATACCTGGTATACTTTCCCATATGCAAGAGGTAATGTAGACTGGTTTTTTTAAAAGTCAGAGTCTCTTGTTTTTTTTTTTTTTTTTTTTTTTTTTAATTTTATCTATTTATTTGAAAGGTAGAGTTACAGTGAGAGGTAGAGACAGAAAGGTCACTCCCCAGTGCCTGTAACGGCCGGAGCTACGCCAGTCCGAAGCCAGGAGCCAGGTGCTTCTTCCTGGTCTCCCATAAGAATGCAGGGGCCCAACCACTTGGGCCACAGCAGAGAGCTGGATTGGAAGAGGAGCGGCCGGGACTAGAACCGGCGTCCATATGGGATGCTGGTGCCACAGGCGGAGGATTAACCTACTGAGCCACTGTGCCAGCCCCTGTTTCTTCACTTTCTAAAGATAATCAGTTATATAATCCAAACCTCTTTTATTCCCAGGTAATTGTTACCATCTCTTCTTATCTTGTGCTATAACAATCTGAGTTTTACCATTCATTCTCTCCTTCCTGTACTACTTTTAAAACTTTTTGCCCATCTCCTACTTTTTAGCTTAATTCAAACTTATGCAAGGATCTTTGGAAAATATACATATAACCCTGGTACTCACTTGCTTGATATCTTTCATTGATTAATATTATATACTCTATTTTTTAGTACATTGCAAAAGGTCCTTCACACTTTTTTTCCTGCTTCTTTCTCATGCCTTTACCTCACACTTTGAATTATCTTACAAGTCATTTACAGTTCCTTGAACTTCCCACGTTTTCATGCCTTTGAACCTACTTTTCTCTCTAGTTGCTATATGGGATATTTGTTCTACTTTTAAGTCACAAGAATATTATTAACATAAGAATTAGAATACTACTGCCAACAATGGTGATAATAATGTAGTCCATATATAACTTTTATCATGTACCAAGTACTGTCTTGTGTCTTCCCTCTCATCTTCAGTATTCCTGCTGTGTAGATACAGGTGAGAAAAAAGGCACAGGAAATGCATATAACAAGTACAAGGTCATGTAACCTGAAAACAGTCCCAGACATTTGACCCTGGGCTCTGTGCTCTATGGTACTAACTATATTGCTTTGCCTCTTCATGCATAAGACTGTTAAACATCCCAGCCTATGAACTTATTGCCTAAGCCTATCTCTCCCCTTTCTTGGGAAAAAAAGAACACTCTCTTGTTGGAATCTTTGATGATTAACAGCATAGCCCTTAGAACACGTTACTGCATTTACATTCTTCTGTCTTGCTTTCCAAGGATTGGATTACTGTATCTTTGTATCTCATCCTTGTATCTCTAGTGGCTGGCACCTACTTAACCATGAGGCAAATGGAGAAATGAATGTGTGAATTATTGAATTTAAAGGTGCAGGGAGCCAGATAACGTCCTTATTTTATAGATGAAGAACCTAGATTAAGTTTATGTAATAGCAATACCAGTTTTTGATGTGACTAGCTTATCAGTTAAGTTTTATTGCTACTCCTTTATTGGTTTGGTTAGTAACCAATCTAATTTGCTTTAAAGCTCAATCAGAAGAACTGATTTTATAATTACTTAGGGAGTGTTTTAGGTAGTGTTGTAAAAATCTGACTTAATATATGACTATAGCATTTAACATGTATCGCTAATACTGGGTTATCATTTATATATTGTGTATGTTGTCAGTATGAAGCAGAAAACATCTTGGAATCCTTTGCCTTTGTTGGTCCTCAGAGTATTTAGATATGTAATGGTTTTGTTTTTCTTTAAATGGATTAAGAATTTCTAAGGAAATCTAGCATGAAACTTTAGTAAAACTTCATCTTGCGAAACGTTTGGCAATTTTGCAAGTGTTTATGTTTCCTGCTTTATGTTAAATGTGGCAGAGACATTGATAAGTTTTGAACCTGGGGCTTGGAAGTATGGAGACTGATGACTCTATTCTCTCTACATTTTTATATATTAAAAACTTTCATGATAAAGCCTGGAAGTTCTAGTCATTACTTTGTCAATATAAAATTTAAATGTTTGGAAATTTATATTCATTGAATAAAAGTTAAAAAAAATTTAAATGTTAAATATAGGTATTAGTAGGAAACTGTACCTTTTATAATACCTTGCTGAGTTTCTTGCTATAGTAGATTAAGCAAGTAATTTATGTAATTTTACTTTATACAGATAAGATTAATTTTTTCTGACTTGTAGTTTAAGATAATGGCCTTAGTTTTTTTTTTTTTTTTTTTAAAGATTTATTTATTTAATTGAGAGGTGGAGGTGAGAGAGAGAAGGAGAGACAGAAGAACAGTGGTCTTCCATCTGCAAGTTTACTCCCCAAATGGCTGCAATAACCTGGCTGGCCAAGCCAGGAGCCAAGAGTTTCTTCTGGGTCTCCCATGTGGGTGCAGGGGCCCAAGGAATTGGGCCATCCTCAGCTGCCTTCCTTAGCACATTAGCAGGGAGCTGGATTGGAAGTAGAGCAGCTAGGACTTGAACCGGCAATCAAATGGGATGCCGGCACTGTAGGCCATAGCTTTAACCTGCTGATGCACAGCGCTGGCCCCCTGATGACCTGTTTTTAGCTAGAGATCAATGATAAGATTTTCCTTCCTGAGAGAAAAACCCCCAAATTGGCAGTTTTATATAACAATAACATAAAAGTATCGATTATAATTATATATTACACTTATTTTGCAACTATATCTTTGTTTTATTACTTCAGAAATTAAAATTCTTTTAAAAGATTACAGATAGCGGTTACCTTGGATGGTAGGTAGGGGACCATAGGTAAATGTTAATTATTAACAACATTCAGCTTCCCTTGCTTTTTGATGGGCACACAGTGAATTATAAATAAATGTCTTACTTTAAGGAAATGAAAGATTGATTCATTATTAGTAAATTATTTAATACAGAGTTTTATGGAAAGGAAAATTCCTATTACAAATACTTAGTGTTTTGCAGTGTTACAAATAAAATTATTAGGAAGAGAATATAACAGATATGATTTATTTATAAGCATTAAGAATTTAAGTTAAAATTTATGCTGTCAATTTTATGACTATCCATTTAAGGGTTCTGATGACTGTCTTGTGAAAATTTGGGCAACAGACGATGGGAGATTATTAGCTACTTTAAGAGGACATGCTGCTGAAATATCAGACATGGCTGTAAACTATGAGAATACCATGATAGCAGCTGGAAGTTGCGATAAAATGATCCGAGTCTGGTGTCTTCGAACCTGTGCACCTTTGGCTGTTCTTCAGGGCCACAGTGCATCAATTACATCACTACAGGTAATTGTTTTAATCCCTGTGAAATCCTTTTTTGCTTCTGGTTTAAAGTTGATTTTAAGAAGCTACTTTTTCAGTCCAGTTTATAAGATCAACCAAAATGAAGAAATGAGTATTTCGGTTAAATATGTGAACTTCAAGTACCATGCTAGTCATGACCTTGGTCTGTTCTGCGTGTTTTCTGTTGTTATTAGTTACTGTTAATATGGTAAAAAGTGGATTTTATTTGGACCGTGTCATGCTTATAAATTTTTTTTTCTGTGATTGTTTTTCAGTTTTCACCATTGTGCAGTGGCTCAAAGAGATATCTATCTTCTACTGGGGCAGATGGCACTATTTGTTTTTGGCTCTGGGATGCTGGAACCCTTAAAATAAAGTCAGTTGCTATTTTGTTTCATAGAGTAATTGTGTTTAATTTAATGTTTGAAATTGCAATAGTAGTTGACAATGGGAATAAGTTTACTTTTTTTCCTTGAGTAAATAATAGAAATTCTTTTTAACTATTCACTGACTGCTTTCAGTTTTATGCCTTTCACTCACCCCTGCTGTTTTTTTTCTTGTATGCTTCAAAGAAAGTTTTCTCTTGTTAACAAGTCTACGCCTTTGCTCTCTTAACTTTATCCTAGCCCTTCTTTCATTCATAATATACTTGATTTATTACAATTTCTTTGTGTGCTATACTGTTTTGTCTCAGTAGCTCTTTTTGGTACTGAGGACATAATAGTTTTTAATGCTATTTTTAAAGATTATTTTATTATGTTACTAAATCTGTAAACTTGATTTTATTATAGATCTAAGGAAACTTAGGAAAACAATTAAAGTTTCACTGTCTGCCATTAAGGTAGATAGGTGCACATATACACCTATAGTAGCATTTTGCATTTATGTTTTTAGTTATTTTAAAAATACTTATTCATCAAAACAAGTTGACTGGAGAGTTACTTTTGATTAAGGACACTGAGGTAAAGAAAGGTTAAATGACTTTCTTCTAATTAAAACCTTTTTTTTTTAAATTGGCAAGTCCTAGTATATAGCACTTCCCTACTCTGTCTCTGTGTGCTAGACTCTATGCTTCTTAAATGGCTGTAGTAAGAGAGGAAGTGCTGTATTTGTCCATGGGAAGCAGTGTATTTAGTGATTTCACAATACTGAAATGGTCATTTCTGCCATTGTCAGGATTGAAAGTAATTTGGATTAAAAGGTATATCTCAATAATTATCTCTGATTTCTAGTTATATGTTATCAACCAAAGTTGAATTATTTAATAAAATAATTTATTTACACCTTTTCTAATTTTAGAACAGTGGTGTTTAGCTAATAGTTTCTAAATCAAGGCATAGTTTTCTTAAACTTCATGTGTTTGAACACTCCTATAGAATGGTTCATGTGACAGAGCAGTAGGGGGCATAGCAACTAGAGTAACATAAGAAAAAGTATATTTGAGAAGAAATTATGGTAAAATATAGTTCTTTGGACAAAGTAAGTTAATTTCACTTTAGTTATGTTCTTAGTACTTAAAGACTTTCTGTAGAAAATTAGATAAAAATGGAAGTGTTTTACTGACGTGAGTAGCTAGTAGCAATTATTTAATTGTTTCCTTTAAGGATGAGGGGGCTTCAAAAAGTTTGTGCAAAAAATACAATTAGGTATAGGCCTTTGGCCTACTGATTAAAACAATACTTGTGACCCTGTGTCCCATATCAAAGTATATAAGTTTGAGTCCTGACTCTGCTCCTGATTCCAGCTTCTTGATAATATATACCTGTGAAACAGCAGGAGTGGCTCAAGTAGTTGGAGTTGGGTCCTTCCCACCCACATGGGAAACCTATGTTGAATTCCTGACTCTCAGCTTTAGCTTAACCTTGGATATTGCAAGTACTTTGGGGAGAGAACCAGCAGATGAGAGCTATTCTCTGCCTTTCAAATAAATAAAATAAACAGATACACTTTTAAAAAAGGAATTAGAAGATACATTTGTTTTGGTGAAAAAACTTGAAGTCAATTCATAGTCTTTTCATCATAGATGTTTTTGTTAGAGGGCAAGGCAGGGAGAGACAGAAAGATATGCTGGTTCACAACCCCAGTGCCCACAACAGCTAGGGCTGGGTCAGGCCAAAACTAGGAGCCCAGAACTCAATCCAGGTATTCTACGTGGGTGGCAGAGATTCAACTACTTGAGCTGTCACTGCTACCTTCCAGGGTGCATTTCAGAAGGAAGCTGAAATTGGAAGGGGAGCCAGGAGTCAAATCCAGGCACTCCCATGTGGGATGTAAGCACCCCAAGGGTATCTTAAGCTCTGTACCAAGTACTCTCTTCATATCTTGTTTTCTTAAACAAGAAAAAGCGATTAGGAATTTAGTATAGAAACAGAAAATGTTTTATATAGTTAAACTGTCTTATTTGTGCTTTCTGAGGATGACAGTACTATTTGCAATAATGTTTCATGTTTCTGGATCCTTGAGAGGTGATTTTTTTTCATATAAATAATTTTTTCAGAAATTTTATGTAGAGATATAGATATATATATATAGATATATATATATAGATATAACCCACTATCCTTACACAATGTATATATATTATTATTTTTATATTATTATTTATATTATAGTAATATTTATATTATTATATATTATATATAATAATATATTATATATTATATTATATATTATATATTATATTATTTTATATATATTATTTTTCATACAAATTAATGATTTCATACAAAATAATTAGGTAAGTTTATACAGTTTTCTGCTGTTTCCTTAATTGTATTTATTGAAGGCACTTGTGTTAATTTTTATAGTTGCGTTATATTCTTCTAAGTGTTGTTACATTATGATTTTTCTCTTTTGAGGTATTAAAGTTTCTTCTTGTTATTTACAAGTGGTATTCTTTTCTATTTGCTGTTATGATTATCCTCTAAAAAATTAAGCCAAAGACAGGCAGAGAAATAGGAATAACCCATTTCTCCTTAGATATATTGATTTTGAGTCATTTATTTTCCTTTCTGTAATTACACGTGACTGATAACTGCCCAAAAATTTGACAGGATATACGTTGTTACTGTATTTATGTCAGCTGTTTCTTTTTTTTTGTTTTGTTTTTTTAGACATACTTATTTATCTTTGAAAGTCAGAGTTACACAGTGAGGATAAGACAGAGGGCATCCATCTGCTGGTTTACTCTTCAGATGGTTGCAACTGCCACCACTGGGCCAGGCCAAATCTAGGAGCTTCATCCAGGTCTCCCACATGAGTGGCAAGGACCTTAAACCATCTTTTGTTGCTTTTCTCAGGCCATTAGCAGGGAGCTGGATCAGAAGTGGACCAGCTGGGACATGAACTAGTGCCCATTTGGGATGCGTGGCAGCTATAAACAATGCACCACATCGCCGACCTCTCAGCGAGCCTTTAATATTTCAAGACAGATATTGTATTGCTGTGATGCTTTGGTATAAGCCAATGGGGAAATGACTTGGGAAACCCCGCTGTCTGCAGTAACTGAAAAAAAAAAATCATTTCAATTTTGGGAACCCGAGTCTATTGATAAATTGAGTTTTATCTAAAGATACTGTTTCCTAGATAAGTAATTTGAGTGGCTTGGTAACTAGGAAGCTAGCTCCAGTAGGAGAAACTGTCCAACTATATTTTGACTAGGTGTAAAATAATGGAGATCCTAAAATATGCAGATAATAATGATGTCTCCAAATTTTTGGTAAGCATTTAGTCTGTCAAGCTAATACTAAGGGCTTCATATTTGTTACATTGTTAGTCTTGTAACTACCCTATGAGGAAGGGACAATCACTATTTTTTGTGCAAATAACGAAAAAAAAAAAAGCATAGGCAGTTCAAGCAGTTAGCAAGTGGGAGTAGAGCCAGGATTTGAATACTGGAAGTATACTGTCAGGACCACTTCTTCAGCACTGTTCTAAACTAAATAGCAGTTATTATATGAGCTATCTAGAGTTTGTTGAATCTAATTAAAATACTAATACTAGTTTTTATTGAGTGTGTTAGGCACTATAGAAAGTATTTTACATGAATTAAATTCATTTAATTTTGTCAGCAACTCTGAGATAGCTTCTGTTGTTACCTTCATTTTGTACAAGAGGAAACTGAGGTATAGAGGTCTTAATTTACCAAAGGTCACACATCTGATAAGTGGCAGGGATGTATGCTTGCTCAATTCAGAGTTTGAGTCTAAGGCCCTCTTTCAAAAAATTTCCTCAACCATACATTTAAAAATAAATTATTGTTACCTGCTTATCTACTTAAAAATGACACTATAGACTCATTAGCATATTCTGGTAATGAGTTCCAACTAAAGGGTTGTTTGGCATTTATATGAACAGTTGTACCCAAAATTAACAAGATATGAATGAAAGTGGTAGTTTCTTGTTTCCATAATTTCAGATTTATTTACTTAACCTGTAATTGTTTAATTTTGCTTTGAATAAGTATTTTCATAACCACCTGTTTCTTTAATCTGTTGTGCTCAGTTATAAGTATTAGAGCTTGTGACCATTAAGAAAAATTGTCAATTTAAAATAATTTACAAACTCATTAATTTAGTTAGCCAAAACTTTTTGTTGCATTCTACATTAGTTAAAAAAATGACTGTTCTCACTGCTCAAAATATTGATAGATCAAAAATAGTCACAAGCTTTTACCCTAATAACAAAACTAAAACCACTCTAAAACTTGATGTTGTGGATTGTGAAGTTATGCAGTGCTGTCAAACTTAAGGCTGTAAATATTTTTATATTTCTTCCACTAATAGAGACAAACTAGGTCAAAAGTACAGTGAGTAGGGCTTCAAATATAATTCATGTACTAGAGCATTATATATACATTGTTGTATGATGAATAGTGGAGCTTTTAAGTCTGAAATTGATAGTTTTCTTTCTTTAATCTGGTTGATTGTAACATTAAACATTTAATAGTATTAAGATAAAACAACATAATACAGTTATACAAAAATTAATATAAATATGGTCAAGTAGATTTCTATTTTTTTTAATGTGAGTTACAGGTGACCTAGCAGTCATGTAGTCTTAGTTGATTTGACTGGGGAATGCTTAAGATTTTTACTTTTGGAGCCTTAAGGGATATGTTTTGTCACATTAGAAGGTAAACATAAGGGAGAAACTTAATTAACAGTGGCTAATACTGGACAAGTTTAGATGTTGATAATATGTGTCAGCAGCAGAAGTGGCACCTATTTTGCTAGTGTCCATATTTACAAATAACTAACTTCCTTATATATATTTGTATGTTGCTATTCTACTGTATGAAACACTGAATACTTGTTTAACTGATAAGAGGTGAGTGTAACTACTAACTGCATGTCTAATGTGACGTGACTTTGGGATTGTTCCCTATGCAGATTGTTGTGTAAACAGGAGCTCCTGTGAAACCTATATCTAGAGTTTGTACAAGATCTGCTGATCATGACACATAATGATTTCTAAGATGTTTTTAGGAAGGGAGCCATCTGTTGCTTCGTATTTAGTTTGGTCCTGTGATTACTTTTTGATACAGTTTATTTCTGGTATTACTGGTTTTTATTTTTTTTACTTATTTATTTTTTTGTAGTCCAAGACCTGCCAAATTTACTGAGCGCCCTCGGCCTGGAGTTCAAATGATCTGTTCTTCTTTTAGTGCTGGTAATATCCCACCTGCCCCACCTACCACTGCCCCCATAATTTTCTGCTTAAAATTGTGTATTGGAAAGCTTGTGGTGGAACACATAAAAGTTTTTGAAAATAATTTACTGTTGCATTATAAATCATATCTTCGTACATATTCCAGAGCTATTAAGTAAACACATAATTCAATTGAGAAGTATTTTAGCTTTGTTGAAATTTAGTTTATCTAATCACATGACTAATTTTCTTTTAAAGATTTATTTACTTTTATTTGAAAGGCAGTTACAGAGATAGAAGGAGAGATAGAGAGACTGAGCTTCCATTCAATGGACCACTTTCCAGATGGCTGCAATGGCCAGGGCTGGGCAAGGACAAAGCCTGATGCCTGGAACTCTATCCAAGTCTTCCACCTGGGTGCAGGGGCTCAAGGATATGGGCCATCTTCTGCTCCTTTCCCAGGCACATTAGCAGAGAACTGGTTGGGAAATGGAGCAGTCTGGACTGGCACCAGTGCCCAGTTTGGATGCTGGCATCACAGGCGGTAGCTTAACCCTCTGTGCTACAATGCCAGATCTAATATTTTCTTGAAGAAGGCCATAATGCTTTAGTAGGAGAGAATAAATAATTTCAAAATTATCTCTTACAAAGTGATTCTTTTAATGGTTCAGTGTAAGAAAGACATTATTTGCCCCAGACTGTCTTATTTGCTGTTTAAAAAGTAGCTGTATTGCAGTGCTAGTATTCCAGTTATATTTTGAATTTACGAAGCAGCATTTTGAATGGATGCTACAGATTTTTTTTTTTTTAAATTTTTGACAGAGTGGACAGTGAGAGAGAGAGAGAGAGAGAGAGAGAGAGAGAGAGAGAGAAAGGTCTTCCTTTTGCCATTGGTTCACCCTCCAATGGCCGCCGCGGCCGGCGTGCTGCGGCCAGCACATCGTGCTGATCCGAAACCAGGAGCCAGGTGTTTCTCCTGGTCTCCCATGCGGGTGCAGGGCCCAAGAACTTGGGCCATCCTCCACTACACTCCCGGGCCATAGCAGAGGGCAGGCCTGGAGGAGGGGCAACTGGGACAGAATCCGGTACCCCGACTGGGACTAGAACCCGGTGTGCCGGTGCCGCAAGGTGGAGGATTAGCCTAGTGAGCTGCGGCGCCGGCTTGATGTTACAGATTTTTAAGCAAGCTACGACCTAGATATTTAAAGTGAATTGATGATAAAATTAAATGTGAATAGATCAAACACATAATATTCTGATACGTTTCTGCCTTTATTTTCACTTTTACTTTTTCTATACTTTCTATAATGGTGGATAGCAGGATTACCCGAGAAAAGAGATAGCAACAAATGATAAAATGAGTCTCTTTTCTTCCATTGTAATACCTGTACATCTTTGGTTTATTTAGATTTATTTATGTATTTATTTGAAAGGCAGAGGGAGGGAGAGGCAGAGAGAAAGAGGTCTTCCATCTTTTGATTCACTTCCCAAATGGCTGCAATAGCCTGGTGTGGGCCAGGCCAAAGCCAGGAGCTGGGAACTCCATCCTGGTCTCTAGTATGGGTAGGCAGAGACCCATGTACTTCTGCTGTCATCTGTTGCCTTTCAGGTGCATTAGCAGGAAGATGATTCAGAAGCAGAGTAGCCAGGACTTACCCCGGATGCTCCATTATGGGATTCCTTTGTTGCAAGTGGTGGTGTAACCTGAAGCACCACAATTGGCCCCAACATCTTTTGGTTTCTTAACTCCCACATTAACAGTGCTAATGCCATGATGACAGTGTTCCTTCTAATAATAACATAAACATAGGCACTGTACATGCATGTGTTGTACTCTGAATTTTTGCCTCTTTCAGAGATAAAATGTTAAAGGTTTGGTGGCTAGGTCATTTAGCACTCATTTAATTATTTCATTTTATATAAGCACTGTTACGTGCTGTGCCAGATAATGGTGTTAAGAAGGGAACAAATGACATACACAAATAATGCAAAATAAAATGTATTGCTACGAAATTATTTGATTTCAGAAGAGTGCAGGCTCATTGTATTGCAAAGTTTGTAATGACAAGTTAGGGCCTTAAAATTTTATGGAATTTTGGCAGATGATAAATGGGCTAAGAGAAGGATTTTAGTAATGTTAAAGGAGACATGTTTTCTAGTGATGACTGATTTTTAACATGGTAAGAATATGTAAACACTTAGTAAAATTATTTTTCTAGGAGAAAGCTTTTCTCCTGTAAATATTGAAAAAAATCCATTGTAGTCAAAGTTATATTAGCTAACTTCTTTTCTTAAATTTCAATTATATGGGGCCAGTCCTGTGGTGTAATTGGAAAAGCCACTGCCTATAGTGCAGACATCCCTTATGGGTATGGGTTTGAGTCCTGGCTGCTCCACTTCCCATCCAGCTCCCTGCTAATGTGACTGGGAAAGCAGTGGCAGATGGCCCAAGTGTTTGGGTCTCTGCCACCCATGTGGGAGACCTCGAAGAAGCTCCTGGTTCTTGACTTCCCTCTGGCCCAGCTTCTGCCGTTGTGGCCATTTGGGGAATGAACCAGTGGATGAAATTCTTGCTCTCGCTCTTTCCCTCTCTCTCTGTAACTCTGCTTTTCAAATAACAAAAAAACAAAAGAAAAACTTAAATGTCACTTGTATATTTAAGATAAATGATTGGTTTTAGAGAGAAATTCTAATATCACTTGAATTTTGTTTAATTTCATATATTTTTGAGGTTATGTTTTATTTATGTGTGTTGTTCTTCATAGGTGGAATGTTTCTGGCTACAGGAAGCACAGATCATATTATTAGGGTTTATTTTTTCGGATCAGGTCAGCCAGAGAAAATATCAGAATTGGAATTTCATACTGTAAGTACTGCTGAATAAATTAGATAAGTATAATTTAAATGAGTTTAATAGTTTATATTTAGCATCCATTTTATTGTTTATCTGTTTGTGTTTAGGACAAAGTTGACAGTATCCAGTTTTCTAACACTAGTAACAGGTAAATACTTACTACATTTGTCTAATTCAATTTTAATATTATGAGATAAAGATGAGTCTAATCTCTACAGTTTTATTTATAAAGTTATATAGGAATTAGTTGCCTGAAATAAATATCTTTACCACTTAAAGCCTTCTTGTGCATGTAAACGTCTTAATTTATAATATTAGTTTACTTGAACACATTTATAATAAGAAATCATTTATGTTTTCCTGTGTATTCTCTATATATTAAAGTATAGAGACGCTTTTGGTAGAGATTGGAAATATATCCGAGTGTAACATTTGAGACAAACCTATTTATTGATAGAAAATGATGATAGTGTGTTAATTTTCTCATGTCTTATTTTACAAAGAAATAAAGCTATTTCTAAACATTTTGAGTAGAACTCGTCAGTTTCTTCTACACTGAGAGGAAAACATTTTTCCATTGGAAGCTATCAATTCTATTTCTAGAGTGGTGAATAACAGCCTTGAATCACATTTGAATGTTATTTTTGAGAAAAGACATGACATTAGAACATTTATGTATAAAATATTAAAAAGCCTACAAAGTTTAAGGAAGTCTTACATTTCTAGAGATTATTTGCAGGAATTATCTGTATTGTATTAGAATGCTGTATAAATAAAGATGAGTGCTGTCTTTTAAAATGAAACTTTGAGAAGAACACGTTTTCATAAAGCATTTGTGGTTTGTCCTTGGGGGACTGTACTCCTTTTAATACAGATTTGTAAGTGGCAGTCGTGATGGGACAGCACGCATTTGGCAGTTTAAAAGAAGAGAATGGAAAAGCATTTTGTTGGATATGGCTACTCGTCCAGCAGGGTAAGAGATAAAATTTGAAATATTACATAGTTATAGATAAGGGGTGAGGAACATCCAGTTTACTGGCTGTGTAAGGCATCTGAAATTGTTTGGTCTGCCCTCTTGATGTAGTCACAGTCAGAACTCAAAATTAAATAAATCTGTATATAATAGCAGGCTAATTTGATTTATTTATTTAAAAGGCAGAGTTACAGAAAGGCAGAGAGAGAGAAAGTGATAGAGAGGGCTTCCATCCACTGATTTACTCCCCACATGGCTGCAATGGCCAGAGTTTGGCCGATCTGAAGCCAGGAGCCAGGAGCTTCTTCTGGGTCTCCCATGCGGGTGCAGGGGCCCAGAGACTTGGGCCATCTTCTACTGTTGTCCCAGGCCATAGCGGAGAGCTGAATTGGAAGTGGAGTAGCCGGGACTTGAACTGGTGCCCATATGGGATGCTGGCACTGCAGGCAGCGGCTTTACCTACTACGCCACAGCACCGGCCCCAGCAGGCTAATTTTTAAACTGATAATTTTGTATGACCTGCACATGATGTTAAAAGTATACAAATAGTCTTTGGCAGAAAAAAGTTTTCTACCCCTGATTTGAAGTATGTAATGTAATAAGGTGGAGTGATTCTTAGTCTGTGAAATCATATCACAACAACTAGAGCTGCTATAGAAGATACAGTGTTGATTTTTACGAAATGATTCCTTAATGGATATAAGACTTGCAGGACCATTGTTGTGGCAGAGGCTTAAGTCACCACCTGTGATGCCAGCATCCGGTACGCGAACTGGTAGATGTCCCGGCTGTTCCTCTTCCAATCCAGCTCCCTGATAATATGTCTGGGCTGGGAAAGCAGTGGAAGATGGACACAAGTACTCGGGTCCTATTACCCACGTGGGAGACACAGAAGCTCCTGGCTTCTGCCTGGCCCAGCTGTGGCCCTTGTGCCATTTGAGGAGTGAACTATAGGATGGAAGATCTGTCTCTCCCTCTCTCTAACTCTGCCTTTCAAATAAATAAATAAATAAATCTTAACAAAAGAAGATAACAACTTGCATTCTAGTTCAGTTTTCTGTTTTTTTTTTTAAGATTTATTTATTTTATCTGAGTGACAGAATGACACAGAGGGATTCTTCTTCCGTCTGCCTGTTCATATCCCAAATGGCTACAATTTGCGGACAAGGCAAAACCAGGAGGTAGTAACTCCATACTGGTCTCCCAGATCGATGGCAGGGGCCCAGCTCTTTAGATCATCTTTTGCTGCCTTCCCAGCCGCATCAGTGGGAAGCTAAATGAGAAAGCAGAGTAGCCGAGGCTTGAACCACGCATTCTGATGTGGAATGCTGACAGCTTAATCCGCTATACCACAATGCTGTCCCCAGTTCATTTTTTTTTTTTTTTAAGATTTATTAATTGTTTATATGAGAGGCAGTTACAGAGAGAGAAAGAGGGAGAGACACACAGAGAGAGGTCTTCTATCCACTCGTTCACTCCCTAAATGGCCACAACAGCTGGAGCTGGGCCAGTCTGAAGCCAGGAGCCAGGAGCTTCTTCCTGGTCTCCCATGTGGGTACAGGAGCCCAGGGACTTGTGCCATCTTTCACTGCTTTCCCAGGCCATCAGCAGGGAGCTGGATCAAGAGAGGAGCAGCTGGGACTTGAACCAGAGCCCATATGGGATGCTGGTGCTGCATGTGGAGGCTTAACCCACTACACCACAGTGCTGGCCCCAGTTCAGTTTTCTTAATAGGATAATAGTATTTGTAAGACAGTTACAACTTCTGATGTTTTTTTCAGAAACCAGAGTATATTAAAATATCCCATCTATCACAGAGGGATAATGTTTTCTATCCAAAGGTTTTCTTCAGCTGAGATAAATTATATTACATATTGTAACTGTTATTTTTATATTATATATTACCATTTTTCTCTACTTGTAGTTAACTCAAATGGATAGGAGGGCAGAGTAGTCAGAACATGATGGAAGAGTAAATGGTGGAGTTGATAGCATAGAGTTCTTACATCTAGATAGTTAGAACAGTAATGTTTACCCAAGGTCATTTGATACTAATAGCTTAGAATAGAATCAGGGATTTCCTGACCCTGTGTAGTGATTTTTGCCATTATTATATGTGGATTCAAATTATTCTCAACTGCTATTAAATAAGTTAAATAATAAGAAAATACATTTTGACTTTTGTCATACTATTTTATAAAGTCATTATAAACAAATACTGCCTCCCTTACTTTCAGTCAAAATCTTCAAGGAATAGAAGATAAAATCACAAAAATGAAAGTAACTATGGTAGCTTGGGATCGACATGACAATACAGTTATAACTGCAGTTAATAACATGACTTTGAAAGTTTGGAATTCTTACACCGGTCAACTAATTCATGTCCTGATGGTGAGAAAGAAAAGATTTATTTTTATTTGATATAACTGAAGCTGGCTATGGAAAGGGATATTTTTATTAAGGGCTTTATAGTCTTTTATGTTAGCTAAAAAGTTGTTTTCTAGAGTAATAAGGCTTTGTGGGTGGTTGTAGTGATTTTAAAATGCATTTAAACAAGTTTGGCTTGCAAATATTTTGTAGATGCTTGCTGTTTTTTGCTGTGTAGGAATGTATTAATAGTATTCTTATGTTTCACTAAATGAATGCAAAACCCTGGACAAAATTAGCTTAGATTCATTATTATATACACATAGATAAATTTGGATGTTTTTGCCAATTTAAATAATTCTTAGAACTTAGTTTCTCAGTTCCTAGGAATGTTGCTATATTGGTGTTTCATTAATTTTTTTATTTTTATATTTAAAATCTGTGACACTTCAAACATATTTCAGGGTCATGAAGATGAGGTATTTGTTCTTGAGCCACACCCATTCGATCCTAGAGTTCTCTTTTCTGCTGGTCACGATGGAAATGTAATAGTGTGGGACCTGGCAAGAGGAGTCAAAATTCGATCTTATTTCAATATGGTAATTATCAGTCATTGTTTTATAGCTGTTAAAGATTTGGGAACTTCTTGAAGGTACTTTGCATATCACAAAGGAAATTCATTTATGACTTGGTTTATACATATTTTGACTTTAGATTTCCATTTGTAAAGAACTAATTTATTCCATACCTGAATTAGAATGCCTATATGTTGTGAAAACTGGTATAGTTGTAGTTTAATAGTGTAGTTTTAATAGTGAGCAGAAGCTCACAAGCATGAAGATATAAGAAAGAGAAGAAAGAAATGTTTGGAAAATAATCAGCACAAATGACAAATAAATATTTATGTTGCATTATTGAATGTCATTGTCAATCCTGTAGTGCAAAGGAATTAGATTCAAATGCATTTCAAAATTAAAGCTGAAGAGTTAGGCATTTCTTGCCTTTGATTATATTATAGTGTATTACTTATTTGAACTTACCTTTTTCTTTTATAGTTTATTTCCCATATAGATTTTACCATATTTTGCAGAGTTTTTGAATTATAGTGATTTAGTCTCGTAGATAATTTGAGCAGTGTTTCCTCTCATTTCTAAACACTGTATAAAATATAAAGGGTTCCTAAAATAAAGCAGTCATATAGTCATATTTTCTAAAAATAGATTTGAATTACCTGTATGTACACATTCAGTAATACATCATAAAATAATAGTTAATAGTGTGTGGTCAAATTTTTTTTGTGAAACAAATTATTTCACAAAATAATCATTCGTGAATAAAATAATGTAAAAAAATTGTATGGAAGTGATCTATTCCTTGATTAATAATCAGAGAAGTTAGTTTTGCATAATAAATAGGAAGATACAGAGAATTTTATAAGTGAAAGAATTAACTTTACCTGTCTTTATGACTGTGCTTAGTGTGTATCAGTAAGAAATCAGGTTTGTAAAATTCTCATCTTTCTATAAATATAATGTTGATTATTTGGGGTGCAATTGTTAATCATGGATGGATTTCCTTTGTGATTATATAGAGAATTTTTAAAAAGAAAATACATAAATATTCTGGTAAGAAGTGTTATTTCTTTCTCTGTCCTTGTATTTCTGATTTGTTTATTTTTGCAACATTCTCTACCTTCAAAGAATCACACCTACAAAAGGGGCATTATTTAGTAATTTCATCTTTTCAAAAGGCATTATTGTATTGATAGAGTGTTTGGAGAGAAACTTTTTTCTCTTAGTTGAATACTGTTTTCACCTTTTAGTTACAAAGGTGAATTTTTCCTCATCAGGTAAGTTGCCACACTAATATTTCACCTTTTTCATAGATATAAAAATCATACCTTGAGTGTTAGATAGTTTGCTTTTAGTGCATTACAGGTTAGTCTATTACAAGTTAGTATTGTAACCAGAAGTAAGAATTCAGCCAAAATATATATTCTTTGAAATTAGCTAAGAAATTATTCTGGAACGGCCTTCAACTTAATGCTTAGTGATAGTTTCAGATGAGAATGTTTTTCTTGTTCTTTATATAAATAAGAAAGAAAACCTGTAAAGGGCGCAAATTATGTTATATTGGGTGTTATCCATAGACTCTTGACACTGTGAGAGAAACAAAACATAAACTAATATAGATACAAATTATATCTTGCATTAAAAACCTTAGGAAAACAGAAAATGAGCTTACCTCACCTTAATTAATTAAAGATATTCTCTTTACTTTTTTGATGCTTTTTAATGATTTGCAAAATGCTTCCATATATATTACCTCATTTTGGTTTCATGAAAACCTTATATAATTAACGTGGGTTTCATTATTTCAGGTTTTATAAATGGAGAAACTGCACATTACAAAGATGAAATCTGTTGCCTAGATTTACCTATGTTTCACACTTATTTTGTGGAAACTTGGACTTATACCCATGATTGTTGCTAATGCATTCTTAATAGTTCATCTAGTTATGGTTTTTTTTTTTATTTTTAGCTTTTCTCAATGTCCTTGCAAACCAAACTTCCAACTCCCAGTGTATGTCCAGGGGATAGTCTTTTACAGTATTAACTCTTGAGTGGATCTGAGATCTTATTGTTAAATTTTATTTTTTTTCCTGTCAGTTTACAAGTTATCTAAATGCCCTACTTCCTTTGCTCTTCATTCTTTTTTTCATTTCATTGCCTGTTTTATCTATGGGCAGGTGAAAGAAAAAAAAAGCATCCAGAATTTCTATTATTGAAAAAAATGGAAATTTTAGGGTGTAGGAGCTTATATTCTTGGTGTCTGCTATTATGTATGAATGAATTTTGGGTACAGTTACAGTTATTTGGCTCTGTATGGCTAATCTAAAATTTTGAATTACTAAGATACCATACAACTTAACATTAGGAATTTAATTTATACTGAGTTTTACTAAGTAATCCCAAGTTCAAGTTAATGTTTTCAGTTTTTCTCTTTTTTTGAATGAACCAAGGAAAGAACCAAAAGAATTATGAATATAAAACAACTTTAGTCTTTTAAGAAAAATGAATTTGTTAACATACATTCCTTTAAACCACATCAGTTATTGTTCATATTTCAGCATATTATGTTATATTAAAAATACTATATGTTTGGCTTTTATCAAAGCATGTAACATATATTAAAAATATTCCTAACTAGTTGAATATAACTCAGGAAGCCTATATTTTTCTAAGCTCTAATTAAATGCTAATAATATAAATTATTATCGGAAATAACTTCAATGTATGTACAATTATCTGGACTGAAGTTGAGGACATGGTAATATTCACTTTCCCTGAAAGAGGTAGGCAGGTTTACAAGTTTACTTATTATAATCTTAAGTGCTCCTAAATATAAATTTTTGTGGCTTTTTTTTTTCATTAAATTATCACACAGTATAACTGATTTTTAACTACATATTCAAATGAATGTGAATTTCTAAAGATAATGAAAAGAGAATTTTTCATATTTCTTAGTGCTTAGACAATTTGGCTATTAGTAGCTAAAAGATACTAGCAGTTGTATTTGAGGACCCCCTGTTAGTAGCTTTCTTCATGTCTCTGGCACTTTTGCTTTGTCTCTCTTGCTCTCTTTTCACTGTAGTCTTAACTGTACTCTGATTATCTCTTTTCATATCTTTCTGTTTTATGTTATTTAAAGCTATAATTTGTTGCCTCCTGTCTGGTTTTGATTTTAATTGAAGATTTCAATATGTCTCTTGTTAGAAAGTGGTTTTACTGAATTTGATTTTTGCTTTACTTTGTTGTCTCATGGGTAAATTTGAAATAACAGTTTTTATTTAATTAAAGGTTTCCTTATTTTTATAATTGTTCTCTTAACCTTTCTTTTACTTAAGAGTTAAAAAAAAAAAATGTTCCAGTGTCCACTAATCCAGAACAATGTATTTCTCCTTGCAACGTCCCAAATGAGCAGAGGCTGCCAATCTACCACTCAGAATTTTTGCACATACATACTTCTGACATTAACATGTTCTCAGTGTGACCTATATTTTAGTTTTAGATAAATGTAGCTGCTCGTATCTAGGAAAGAAAGAAAGAAAAGCTCAAAATAGCTATATCTCATTTCTGTTCTCTTCTGAATGAGAATTTCAAGTTTCTATCTTTATCTCTATCATCCATCTACTGTCATTTAACAATATAATGTCAATATTTATATTGAGTATGTTAAAAGGGCTCCCTGATACTTCTAGTTCTTATTTCAACTTCTTTGGATAAGAATTACCTTCAGTTTTCTTATCAACCTTAATTATTATTTTCTTTCAGCTATCTGGGGTTCTTATAGATACTATCTTATTTTCATCTATGTATATCTTGGTGCAAAAAACATACCATAAAATTGGTTGCCATGAACATGAGTTTGTCATAGTTTTATGTTTGATGGATTACTTTTGTGTAGTAACTTTCACATACTCATGATCCATTATCACAGAAGTGTTTGAGATTTGATAGTTAATAAGGGAAAGTATGTGGTTATACAAGTACAGAATGTACACATGCAGGTGAAGATATTTTGATTGACATATATTTGAGTGATTTTGTGTTAAGCACAAAATATGAGAACCACAAGGAGGGATATAGTCATTTTTAACCAATTCACAGTTAAGTTAGGAAGATAAATGTAAACCTGAAAATATAAATAGTTTCAAATGGTAGCATGACAAATGATGAGGCAATTGTGATATCTAAAAATGTAGGCATTCTGTCAGGGTGGATGTTCAAAGTTTTGTTGACAAGGAAGAATTGAAACTGTATCTTGAAAGTTAAATAGATGTTCAGTAATTTTATAAATGAATGGAACTTTATAACTACAAGGTAAATGTTATACATGTTGTTTAAGTGATTTAGAAAGTTTGTGTGGAGTAGATTTTGCAAATAATGGATGGTAAAACAGAAAGCATAGATTGAGGTGGATTATTAATGGCCTGAAATGATCTCATAAACATAAAGAAGAGTAAATGTAGTGGGGGGTTTGTAAATTATGAGAAAAAATAATTTTATTGCCAGTAGTAGTATTTCATATATAAAATCTGATCAATGTAGACGGAACTGTTTTATCAGTAAGATTATAATAAGAAATTATACAGGTAGGTAGTAGTGAATTTATGAAGTAAGGAAAAAAATATTTTGTGTCATATATTGGGATTGGGCTGTTCCTGGCTGTTTGAAGTGACAAGAAGGAAAGGTTTAATAGTTAAATTCAGAGTATTAGGTCAGTATGTCCTTGACAACAATGTTATTTATTAATGAGAATATGAAACACATGAGGAAAAACTGATTTGTTTTTAATTCATTTGTATATATGTTTATTGTATAAGACTACCTTTGTGGAAATGGCCATTAAGCACTTGGAAATAGAATAGTTGGAAGAGCTAGGAGTAGAGAAAAAGAAATGTTAAGTTGTTCCATACAGAATGATGTTTGCCTCCTCATGGAGATATGGTGATATAGAGGGCAGTGTAGAGGACTTAGAATTAAACTTTGAAATGTACTTAATAATTACAGAATGGGGAAGAGAACACAGTCCCTAG